ACCGGTTCGTGGCACGAACTGGTACTATAGGTTAGACCTTTAGTACCGGTTGGTAACACAAACCGGTACTAAAGGGGCTCGTGGGGACCCGGCCTGACGCCAGCCTGCCACTACCGCTTTAGTACCGGTTCGTGGCACGAACCGGTACTATTGATCGCAGCCACGAACTGGCACTATTGATCACATTAGTGCCGTTTTTTTTACAAACCGGCATTAATGTGCTTCATATTTGACCCTTTTTCTACTAGTGAATATAAGTCTTTTTAGAGATCTTAACAAGTGACTACATACGGAGCAAAATAAGTGAATCTACACTCTAAAATATGTCTACATACATCCGTATGTTGTGGTTCATTTGAAATGTCTAAAAAGACTTATACTCCCTCCATTTCTAAATATTTGTCTTTCTAGACATTCAAATAGACTACAACATACGGATGTATGTAGACATATTTTATAATGTAAATTCACTCATTTTACTTTGTATCTAGTCACTTGTTGAAATCTCTAGAAAGACAAATATTTAGGAACGGAGGGAGTATTTAGGAATGGAGGGAGTACTTACTACTACTCCTCCGTCCGGAAATACTTGTCATAAAAATGAATGTATCTAGATGTATTTTAATTTTAGATACATCTATTGTGATCCATTCTTCCGACAAGTATTTCCGGACGGAGGGAGTACTATATAAGGCCCCGTAAGACTAAGGTTACGAAGCAAATGACTCTGCGGCTAAATACAATCATCTAGCCAACTAATGCATTTTATTTCACTCCAAGTCAGCACCGAAAGATACGCACAGCTAAACCTGGGCTTTCCCAACTAAAATAAAGACTCAGCTTCAGTCCGACCAAATTCTGGACGAGGTATGTGTCAGAAGTACAGACGCAAACCGTCCATTGACCGTGCCTCCAGCCGTCACACCATGAGCCACATGTGTCAGACGTACATACGGAGTACTCCCTCCGTTCGGGTTTATTAGGCCTCTCAGCATCACAAACATGTCCCCTTTTATAAGGCCCCGCATTAGAAAGGTGCATGCATGCAACCATTTCATTGGTTGTATTGAAAGCTATTGTTGTTGGTGTCATGGCTGAAAAGTTAATACACTTCATATGTGCTTTTTCATTGGCTGCATGCATGTGAGAGAGTGCATTGGGAGTGGGATGGAATAATTAATGTGAGCAAATTACTATGTGTCTTGGTCTAAGAGAAGTTGTCTTTAGGCCTAATAAACTCGGACGGAGGGAGTACATACTATCACACTGTATTCCGGGAGGCACAAATTTCCCCAGCTCGCACCCATTTGCATTAATTGCTGCTGCACAGTTCATCAAGCTGCTACTTGGGACAAAATTACTGTTCTGACCTATGTGGTTAACAAAATCTCGATTTGAAAATCTCGATTTGACCTCGTTTTGAAAAAAAAAATTGTTTCTGACCTTTTCAGGCGACGCCAACATCCCTGGCGTTTGGGTTGCGAAGCAGACGCCACGGATCCTGGCGTCTGGCCCCTGGCCCGCACTGCCCGCCTGCCCGTTGACCTACTGACGTGGCAAAGGGGCCAGATGCCAAGGACCCTGGCGTCTGGCCCTGGTAACTGGATAACCCCACGGGAGAGTGTGTGGGACCCACCCCACACACTTTCCCCAATCCGCAACCCGAGCTTGAAGAACACTTGGAGCTCTCACACTCTCTCCCACCCCTCAAGCTCCCCCTCAAATCCTCTCCAAAAGGTGCATCCCTTAGGTGGATCTTTCCATCACTTTGTTGCTCTTGGTAATCTCCCCCAAATCATCCAATTATTTTTTGTTAAATCTTGTTATTTTGGTTGCATTTTATACATGTTGGTGGAACCCTAGTTCATGTTTTCTCCCTTATGTTAGTGTGAATGGCTTGGTTAACTTTGATAATATAGTGATATGCATGGTGTGTAGTAGGAATATATGCTTGTTGAGTAGAAAGATTGGGGGTTAGGGTTAGTTAGTGATTAGGGTTAACAATGCTTAGTGTGTGTTAATTAGTGATACTTTTGTGGACATCACCAATAATTTAGTGTTGATATGATTTGG